ACTTATAATAGACAGTTTCTATACTATAACTTATAATAGACAGTTTCTATACTCTATCTTATAATAGACAGTTTCTATACTATAACTTATAATAGACAGTTTCTAAAACTCAATGTCTTCCAAAATTCTGATGCCATTTCAGGATATTTCATGGTGATGTCATCAATTGTGCCATTTTGAATTTTATAGAGGAATAGCTTTAATATCCTTGTTCTTCCGTTGGGATGAAGGTATTTTGACCAAATTTGAACAGTAGCATCCTATGGGAAAGGGAAATCAATTTTGTATAAATGGTGGGTTTGAACCCCCTGGGGGCAGAAGGGCAGGGCCATATAGGGTAAATAGAAAAATAGCTATAAAATCCATATTCTTCTGTAGGAATGACAGGATTATGTCAATATTTGGTCTTAAGCATCCTTGGGTGAAGGGGACCTAATTTTGTACCAACGTTGGGTCGCAGAGGGGCTGTGCCCAATATGAGAAACATAGCAAGTTCTTCAAACTCCTCCTTTTCCTGTTGGAATGACAGGATTTTGTCCAATTGCATATAAATATAATCCCTGACTAACCATGTAATACATGTACACTTCCAGCAACATCTGGCTATTTTAACTTCAATTTTGCTAACATTTCAGGTGAGCGATACAGGCCCTCTGGGCCTCTTATATTAGTAGGTGCCATCTTGGATAAAGTTTATCTCATGTTACATGGTTTTTAAAATGATTTGTACTTGAAAGTTATTCTCTCATTTGTGAATTTGTGAAACAGATTCAGCATCTTCAACAGATAGATCATGATACCAATTCACTCCAACAGATAAAACAAAATAGCATCATTCACTCTGAAAGATACTTTCCCTTTATCCAAACAGGGAGTCACTCAATCAGACAGGGGAGTCACTCAGTCAGACAGGGGAGTCACTCAGACAGACAGGGGAGTCACTTGATCAGACATGGGGGTCACTCAGTCAGACAGGGGAGTCACTCAGGCAGACAGGGAAGTCACTCAGACAGGGGAGTCACCCAATAAGACAGGGAAGTCACTCAGTCAGACAGGGAAGTCACTCAGTCAGACAGGGAAGTCACTCAGCCAGACAAGGGAGTCACTCAGTCAGACAGGATAGTCACTCATTCAGACAGGGGAGTCACTCAGTCAGACAGGAGAGTCACTCAGTCAGACAGGGGAGTCACTTAATCAGACAGGGGAGTCACTCAGTCAGACAGGGGAGTCACTTAATCAGACAGGGGAGTCACTCAGTCAGACAGGAGAGTCACTCAGTCAGACAGGGGAGTCACTTAATCAGACAGGGGAGTCACTCAGTCAGACAGGGAAGTCACTCAGCCAGACAAGGGAGTCACTCAGTCAGACAGGATAGTCACTCATTCAGACAGGGGAGTCACTCAGTCAGACAGGAGAGTCACTCAGTCAGACAGGGGAGTCACTTGATCAGACAGGGGAGTCACTCAGACAGACAGGGGAGTCACTTGATCGGACAGGGGAGTCACTCAGACAGACAGGGGAGTCACTTGATCAGACAGGGGAGTCACTCAGACAGACAGGGGAGTCACTTGATCGGACAGGGGAGTCACTCAGACAGACAGGGGAGTCACTTGATCAGACATGGGGGTCACTCAGTCAGACAGGGGAGTCACTCAGACAGACAGGGGAGTCACTTGATCAGACAGGGAAGTCACTCAGTCAGACAGGGAAGTCACTCAGTCAGACAGGGAAGTCACTCAGCCAGACAAGGGAGTCACTCAGTCAGACAGGGAAGTCACTCAGCCAGACAAGGGAGTCACTCAGTCAGACAGGATAGTCACTCATTCAGACAGGGGAGTCACTCAGTCAGACAGGTGAGTCACTCAGTCAGACAGGGGAGTCACTTGATCAGACAGGGGAGTCACTCAGACAGACAGGGGAGTCACTTGATCGGACAGGGGAGTCACTCAGACAGACAGGGGAGTCACTTGATCAGACATGGGGGTCACTCAGTCAGACAGGGGAGTCACTCAGTCACACAGGGGAGTCACTCAGTCAGACAGGGGAGTCCCTCAGTCAGACAGGGAAGTCACTCAGTCAGACAGGGGAGTCACTCGATCAGACAGGGGAGTGACTCAGTCAGACAAGGGAGTCACTCAATCAGACAAGGGAGTCACTCGATCAGACAGGGGAGTCACTCAGTCAGACAGGGGAGTCACTTAATCAGACAGGGGAGTCACTCAGTCAGACAGGTGAGTCACTCAGTCAGACAGGGGAGTCACTTGATCAGACAGGGAAGTCACTCAGTCAGACAGGGGAGTCACTCAGACAGACAGGGGAGTCACTTGATCAGACATGGGGGTCACTCAGTCAGACAGGGGAGTCACTCAGTCAGACAGGAGAGTCACTCAGTCAGACAGGGGAGTCACTTGATCAGACAAGGGAGTCACTCGATCAGACAGGGGAGTCACTCAGACAGACAGGGGAGTCACTTGATCAGACAGGGAAGTCACTCAGTCAGACAGGGAAGTCACTCAGTCAGACAAGGGAGTCACTCAATCAGACAAGGGAGTCACTCGATCAGACAGGGGAGTCACTCAGTCAGACAGGGAAGTCACTCAGTCAGACAGGGGAGTCACTCAGTCAGACAGGGAGTCACTCAGTCCGATAGGGGAGTCACTTTGTTTATGACAGGATATCTCTTGATAAAGAAAAATGCAATGTGTTTTTTATTTATATTTCAGATTGAGGTTGCTGATCCCAGGCATAAAATCTTGAACTTAGGCCCACGAGTTGTAAGCGATCTTGTCAAGAAATACATTCCAATAGTAAATAACAGCCCGGCACCAATAACTTTTAACCTGGCTCTTACCCCAGTGTCTGCAGCACTGCAGAAACCGGGTGTCATCTCTATCTCTCCCGTCAACACCATCACTCTGGAGCCAAAGGGAGGCACCATCAAGGTAGAGGTCATATTTGCTCCCAAGTGTAGGATTCCCCAGTTCAGTGAGGAAGTGATGCTGGAGTGTGCTGGACTATATCAGCCTCTATTTGTGCTCCAAGGATCCTGTTTGGGCATGGAAATCAATCTAGACACCTACGCTATTCCGTTTGGTGCTGTTGTCAAGGACAGTCAAAGTACACGCAAACTTGTGATGAGTAACACTGGCGATATGAATACAAAGTAAGTGTCTCTAAGGATCTGTAAGGCTCACAGTAACACCGCTAGACTAGTAAGTGTGTCTAAGGATCTGTAACCCTCACAGTAACACCGCTAGACTAGTAAGTGTGTCTAAGGATCTGTAACCCTCACAGTAACACCGCTAGACTAGTAAGTGTGTCTAAGGATCTGTAACCCTCACAGTAACACCGCTAGACTAGTAAGTGTGTCTAAGGATCTGTAACCCTCACAGTAACACCGCTAGACTAGTAAGTGTGTCTAAGGATCTGTAACCCTCACAGTAACACCGCTAGACTAGTAAGTGTGTCTAAGGATCTGTAACCCTCACAGTAACACCGCTAGACTAGTAAGTGTGTCTAAGGATCTGTAACCCTCATAGTAACACAGCTAGACTAGTAGGTGTGTCTAAGGATCTGTAACCCTCACAGTAACACCGCTAGACTAGTAAGTGTGTCTAAGGATCTGTAACCCTCACAGTAACACCGCTAGACTAGTAAGTGTGTCTAAGGATCTGTAACCCTCACAGTAACACCGCTAGACTAGTAAGTGTGTCTAAGGATCTGTAACCCTCACAGTAACACAGCTAGACTAGTAAGTGTGTCTAAGGATCTGTAACCCTCACAGTAACACAGCTAGACTAGTAAGTGTGTCTAAGGATCTGTAACCCTCACAGTAACACAGCTAGACTAGTAAGTGTGTCTAAGGATCTGTAACCCTCACAGTAACACAGCTAGACTAGTAAGTGTGTCTAAGGATCTGTAACCCTCACAGTAACACAGCTAGACTAGTAAGTGTGTCTAAGGATCTGTAACCCTCACAGTAACACAGCTAGACTAGTAAGTGTGTCTAAGGATCTGTAACCCTCACAGTAACACAGCTAGACTAGTAAGTGTGTCTAAGGATCTGTAACCCTCACAGTAACACAGCTAGACTAGTAAGTGTGTCTAAGGATCTGTAACCCTCACAGTAACACAGCTAGACTAGTAAGTGTGTCTAAGGATCTGTAACCCTCACAGTAACATAGCTAGACTAGTAAGTGTGTCTAAGGATCTGTAACCCTCACAGTAACATAGCTAGACTAGTAAGTGTGTCTAGTATGTCAACTTGGTATACAGTATATAGCACAGATTGATCTTAAACATGAATGTAATCACCAATGTTAAATCAAGTTCTTATGATTGACTAACTATGACTAGGGTAATACTAGTTGGCCAGTAGTGTACCGGGATGAAGGGCTACCAATCTAACCTTTTCTTTTTTTAAAGACTTGGAGTCAAAGATACTTATATTTTGCATGTAGGTTTATTTTAGTTCATTTTCAAGCTTACAATTGTAAGAGACAGAAATGTCACTTAACATTCATTGAATACTGGTTATGGAATGTACTGGGTAAGTTGTGCTTACTGTACTGGGTAAGTTGTGTTTACTGTATTGTGAATGTGATGAAGTTACTTATAGGGAATCGTTAGCTGTGGTATAGTTTATATTCAATGTTTTGTCACAGGTTTAAGTGGGATAGCAAGAAATTCCGCCCTGACTTTTCTATTACCCCAGCAGAGGGCTACATTACATCAGGAATGGATGTGACATTTGAGGTGACCTTCCATCCGAAAGAACTCAATCAAGACATCAGATATGATGTAAGTGTCATTTAAAAGCAAATAAATCATTTTCCTCAAAAAAATGTCACCAGTCACTTCAAAAAAAAAATCCATTCCATTATTTCCATGATTCAAAGCAAAATATACTTATGAATACCTGACACAAAACAATAACACACCTGTATACATGATACAGAGTAAACACACCTGTATAAATAATACAGAGTAAACACACCTGTATAAATGATACAAAGTAAACACACCTGTATAAATAATACAAAGTAAACACACCTGTATACATGATACAGGGTAAACACACCTGTATACATGATACAGGGTAAACACAACTGTATACATGATACAGAGTAGTCACACCTGTATACATGATACAGAGTAAACACACCTGTATACATGATACAGAGTAGTCACACCTGTATACATGATACAGAGTAAACACCTGTATACATGATACAGAGTAAACAAACTTGTACACATGATACAGAGTAGTCACACCTGTATACATCATACAGAGTAAACACACCTGTATACATGATACAGAGTAGTCACACCTGTATACATGACACAAAGTAAACACACCTGTATACATGATACAGAGTAAACACACCTGTATACATGATACAGAGTAAACACACCTGTATACATGATACAGAGTAAACACACCTGTATACATGATACAGAGTAAACACACCTGTATACATGATACAGAGTAAACACACCTGTATACATGATACAGAGTAAACACACCTGTATACATGATACAGAGTAAACACACCTGTATACATGATACAGAGTAAACACACCTGTATACATGATACAGAGTAAACACACCTGTATACATGATACAGAGTAAACACACCTGTATACATGATACAGAGTAAACACACCTGTATACATGATACAGAGTAAACACACCTGTATACATGATACAGAGTAAACACACCTGTATACATGATACAGAGTAAACACACCTGTATACATGATACAGAGTAGTCACACCTGTATACATGATACAGAGTAAACACACCTGTATACATGATACAGAGTAAACACACCTGTATACATGATACAGAGTAAACACACCTGTATACATGATACAGAGTAAACACACCTGTATACATGATACAGAGTAAACACACCTGTATACATGATACAGAGTAAACACACCTGTATACATGATACAGAGTAAACACACCTGTATACATGATACAGAGTAAACACACCTGTATACATGATACAGAGTAAACACACCTGTATACATGATACAGAGTAAACACACCTGTATACATGATACAGAGTAAACACACCTGTATACATGATACAGAGTAAACACACCTGTATACATGATACAGAGTAAACACACCTGTATACATGATACAGAGTAAACACACCTGTATACATGATACAGAGTAAACACACCTGTATACATGATACAGAGTAAACACACCTGTATACATGATACAGAGTAAACACACCTGTATACATGATACAGAGTAAACACACCTGTATACATGATACAGAGTAAACACACCTGTATACATGATACAGAGTAAACACACCTGTATACATGATACAGAGTAAACACACCTGTATACATGATACAGAGTAAACACACCTGTATACATGATACAGAGTAAACACACCTGTATACATGATACAGAGTAAACACACCTGTATACATGATACAGAGTAAACACACCTGTATACATGATACAGAGTAAACACACCTGTATACATGATACAGAGTAAACACACCTGTATACATGATACAGAGTAAACACACCTGTATACATGATACAGAGTAAACACACCTGTATACATGATACAGAGTAAACACACCTGTATACATGATACAGAGTAAACACACCTGTATACATGACACAAAGTAAACACACCTGTATACATGACACAAAGTAAACACACCTGTATACATAACACAAAGTAAACACACCTGTATAAATAATACAAAGTAAACACACCTGTATAAATAATACAAAGTAAACACACCTGTATAAATAATACAAAGTAAACACACCTGTATACATGGTACAGAGTAAACACACCTGTATACATGACACAAAGTAAACACACCTGTATACATGACACAAAGTAAACACACCTGTATACATGATACAATGTAAACACACCTGTATACATGATAAAGTATATACACCTGTATGTGCATGTATCAACAAACATGATGTTTAGCCATGCATACACATTGATGCAAGGTAGTCATAAAACTATATGCAAGATGCAAAATAAATATATCACGTCTGTAACTGTTTGACTCCACCATTTGTTTTCAATTGAAGCTATACTTTGCTGATTGTGCAGTTCATTTTCTTTAATCTTGTAGAGTTTGCGCTGCTTCTTCCCCGAGTCGAGTCCTCACAAGCCTGTCACTTTGACATTGACTGGTATGTGTGTGAGCTTGCCTGCTCCTAAAGAGACTCAGCACCTGTCAACACACGTAAGACAGGCAGAGACCAAGTTCCTGTCCATCCCCAACAAAACTAACATGACATGGATTCTTAAGCCTATCATTGATGGAGAATACTGGTCAGGGCCTGTCACCTTCACAGTTGAGGCTGGACAGACAAAACAGTTCCCCCTCACTTACCGTCCACTGACCATGACACCAGAGGGCAAGAAACATCAAGTATGTATCTGTGGGTCACACCAAGTATGTATCTGTGGGTCACTCCAAGCATGTATCTGCGGGTCACACCAAATATGTATCTGTGGGTCACACCAAGTATGTATCTGTTGGTCGCACCAAGTATGTATCTGCGGGTCACACCAAGTAAGTATCTGTGAGTCACATCAAGTATGTAGCTGTGGGTCACACCAAGTATGTATCTGTGAGTCACACCAAGTATATATCTGTGGGTCACACCAAGTATGTATCTGTGTGTCACACCAAAGTATGTATCTGTGGGTCACACCAAGTATGTATCTGCATGTCACACCAAGTATGTATCTGTGGGTCACACCAAATATGTATCTGCGGGTCACACCAAGTATGTATCTGTGGGTAACACCAAGTATGTATCTGTGGGTCACACCAAGGATGTATCTGTGAGTCACACCAAGCATGTATCTGTGGGTCACACCAAGTATGTATCTGCATGTCACACCAAGTATGTATCTGTGGGTCACACCAAGGATGTATCTGTGGGTCACACCAAGTATGTATCTGCATGTCACACCAAGTATGTATCTGTGGGTCACACCAAATATGTATCTGCGGGTCACACCAAGTATGTATCTGTGAATCACACCAAGTATATATCTGTGGGTCACACCAAGTATGTATCTGTTGGTCGCACCAAGTATGAATCTGCGGGGCACACCAAGTATGTATCTGTGAGTCACACCAAGTACGTATCTGCGTGTCACACCAAGTATGTATCTGTGGGTCACACCAAGGATGTATCTGTGAGTCACACCAAGCATGTATCTGTGGGTCACACCAAGCATGTATCTGCGGGTCACACCAAATATGTATCTGTGGGTCACACCAAGTATGTATCTGTTGGTCGCACCAAGTATGTATCTGCGGGTCACACCAAGTATGTATCTGCGGGTCACACCAAGTAAGTATCTGTGAGTCACATCAAGTATGTAGCTGTGGGTCACACCAAGTATGTATCTGTGAGTCACACCAAGTACGTATCTGCGTGTCACACCAAGTATGTATCTGTGGGTCACACCAAATATGTATCTGCGGGTCACACCAAGTATGTATCTGCGGGTCACACCAAATATGTATCTGAGGGTCACACCAAGCATGTATCTGCGGGTCACACCAAATATGTATCTGTGGGTCACACCAAGTATGTATCTGCGTGTCACACCAAGCATGTATCTGAGGGTCACACCAAGTATGTATCTGTGGGTCACACCAAGTATATATCTGTGGGTCACACCAAGTATGTATCTGTTGGTCGCACCAAGTATGAATCTGCGGGTAACACCAAGTATGTATCTGTGAGTCACACCAAGCATGTATCTGTGGGTCACACCAAGCATGTATCTGTGGGTCACACCAAGTATGTATCTGTTGGTCGCACCAAGTATGAATCTGCGGGTCACACCAAGTATGTATCTGTGAGTCACACCAAGTATATATCTGTGGGTCACACCAAGTATGTATCTGCGTGTCACACCAAGTATGTATCTGTGGGTCCCACCAAGTATGTATCTGCGGGTCACACTAAGTATGTATCTGCGGGTCACACCAAGTATGTATCTGCGGGTCACACCAAGTAAGTATCTGTGAGTCACATCAAGTATGTAGCTGTGGGTCACACCAAGTATGTATCTGTGAGTCATACCAAGTATGTATCTGTGGGTCACACCAAATATGTATCTGCGGGTCACACCAAGTAAGTATCTGCGGGTCACACCAAGTATGTATCTGCGGGTCACACCAAGTATGTATCTGCGGATCACACCAAGTAAGTATCTGCGGGTCACACCAAGTATGTATCTGTGAGTCACACCAAGTATGTAGCTGTGGGTCACACCAAGTATGTATCTGCGGGTCACACCAAGTATGTATCTGTGGGTCACACCAAGTATGCTTCTGTGGGTCACACCAAGTATGTATCTGTGGGTCACACCAAGTATGTATCTGTGGGTCACACCAAGTAAGTATCTGCGGGTCACACCAAGTATGTATCTGTGGGTCACACCAAGTATGTAGCTGTGNATCTGTGGGTCACACAAAGTATGTATCTGTGGGTCACACAAAGTATGTTATCTGGATTGCATAATCAATTTTGCTTTTGATTTAAAAAAAACACCCAGATGAGCTATTAAGGCCCTGGGCCTCTTGTTTCAAGAAATTATTAAGATGAATGTATCAAATATTGGCCATTGAACTATTTGCAGGGGACTATTTTCTTCCCAATGCCAGACGGCCAAGGTTTACTGTTCAATATGATGGGTGTGTCTGAGCCTCCAAAGCCAAACAGTAAACCTCACTTTGATGTTCCATGTAAGGTGGCCCACACAGAACTTCTCAGTGTGGACAACTGGCTGAAAAGGCCACAAAGGTATATAATGCCAGATAGCTATTACATTTCCCACAGATATCTGTGCTTGTATTTTCTATATATTTTGGATGAAAAATCACATGTGTCCTTCTGTAAAATTTCCTAGTTACCAAGAGTGAATACATTCACAGTTGGTTGTCATTTTTTGATTCCCTCTTATGCTGGTTAAACAAAATCATAAGTATGTCCTTTTTTCCTAGTTACATGGGAATACTATTGATTTTCACCTATTTTCTAAACAATGTTTTTTTTTTCACCCAATAGATTTGCTGTACTGAAAGAAACCATAAAGGCTGAGAAACTAGACACGGGGACATCAGTTAAGGGGATGGAATACATTGATGTTCCAGCCAGTGGTAAAAAGGACTACAAGCTGACATTCTATGCCCACAAGGAGGGTGTCACCATGCTCAAGGTACAGACACTGGTTTCAACAATAGCATTAAGAGAATATTTAAAAGAGTAAACTACAACATTATCATATAAACCTTGTACTTTTAAAAGGTTGAGAAAACACATTGTGACATTAAATAGCTAAGTAGGCTGTGTAACATTAATTGGTATAAAGGCTCTGTAACATTTAGTGTTTATAGACTGTGTAATATTAATTGGTATAAAGGCTCTGTAACATTTAGTGTTTATAGACTGTGTAATATTAATTGGTATAAAGGCTCTGTAACATTTAGTGTTTATAGACTGTGTAATATTAATTGGTATAAAGGCTCTGTAACATTTAGTGTTTATAGACTGTGTAATATTAATTGGTATAAAGGCTCTGTAACATTTAGTGTTTATAGACTGTGTAATATTAATTGGTATAAAGGCTCTGTAACATTTAGTGTTTATAGACTGTGTAATATTAATTGGTATAAAGGCTCTGTAACATTTAGTGTTTATAGACTGTGTAATATTAATTGGTATAAAGGCTCTGTAACATTTAGTGTTTATAGACTGTGTAATATTAATTGGTATAAAGGCTCTGTAACATTTAGTGTTTATAGACTGTGTAATATTAATTGGTATAAAGGCTCTGTAACATTTAGTGTTTATAGACTGTGTAATATTAATTGGTATAAAGGCTCTGTAACATTTAGTGTTTATAGACTGTGTAATATTAATTGGTATAAAGGCTCTGTAACATTTAGTGTTTATAGACTGTGTAATATTAATTGGTATAATAGGCTGTACTACATAAATTGGTATAATAGGCTGTTTTACATTAATTGGTATAATAGGCTGTTTTACATTAATTGGTATAATAGGCTGTGTTAAATTAATTGGTATAATAGGCTGTGTTAAATTAATTGATATAATAGGCTGTGTAACATTAATTGGTATAATAGGCTGTTTTACATTAATTGGTATAATAGGCTGTGTTAAATTAATTGGTATAATAAGCTGTGTAATATTAATTGATATAATAGACTGTGTAACATTAATTGGTATAATAGTCTGTGTTACAATAATTGGTATAATAGGCTGTGTAATATTAATTGGTATAATAGGCTGTGTAATATTAATTGGTATAATAGGCTGTATTACATTAATTGATATAATAGGCTGTGTTACATTAATTGGTATAATAGGCTGTTTTACATTAATTGGTATAATAGGCTGTGTTAAATTAATTGGTATAATAAGCTGTGTTACATTAATTGGTATAATAGACTGTTTTACATTAATTGGTATAATAGGCTGTTTTACATTAATTGGTATAATAAGCTGTTTTACATTTATTGGTATAATAGGCTGTATTACATTAATTGGTATAATAAGCTGTGTTACATTAATTGGTATAATAGACTGTGTAATATTAATTGGTATAATAGGCTGTATTACATTAGTTGGTATAATAGGCTGTATAACATTAATTGGTATACTAGGCTGTGTTACATTAATTGGTATAATAGGCTTTGTTAAATTAATTGGTATAATAGGCTGTATTACATTAATTGGTATAATAAGCTGTGTAATATTAATTGGTATAATAGGCTGTTTGACATTAATTGGTATAATAGGCTGTGTAACATTAATTGGTATAATAGTCTGTATTACATTAATTGGTATAATAGACTGTGTAATATTAATTGGTATAATAGGCTGTATTACATTAATTTATATTAGAGGCTGTGTTACATTAATTGGTATAATAGTCTGTATAACATTAATTTGTATAATAGGCTGTATAACATTAATTGGTATAATAGGCTGTTTTACATTAATTGGTATAATAGGCTGTGTTGAATTAATTGGTATAATAGGCTGTGTTACATTAATTGGTATAATAGGCTGTTTTACATTACATATTGCAGTTTGCTCTTGGATTGGAACTCTGTGTAATCATAAATATGGAAGATGTAATTAATTATATGTTACTTGTTTTTATCTCACAGGTCACATTTATTAATGAGAAGACTCAGGAATACCAGTTCTATGAGGTGACTTTTCGTGCAACAAAACAAGGGACTGTGGGAACCATTGATTTGTCCACCCCAGTCCGACAGAGTGTACTCCACACCATCACTATAGATAATCCTCTGGGATATGCTGTTTCCTTCAATGGCACGTGTACTCTGCCAGAAATCCTCATGCCACCCCAGTTCAATGTCCCTGCCAACTCAACAGTAAGTTCAGTGCATGTCAATGAATACCTGTAAAGTAGTCACAAAAGCTTTTTACTCAAAACCAAATAAGCATTCTTTCTAAACAAGTTTTGAAACTGAACTTGTGAACGAATACACAAAAACAAAATCAGAATTCTACAACGTGAGACAGGCTAACATTGTGTTTTGTTCTTTCAGGGTGAAGTTAGCATAGAGTACCAGCCTCTAAAGGTAGGCGATTTCCAGGGCAAGATCGAGTATGTGTGTTCTGACCTTGGCAGCTACACCTATGACCTTAACCTGAAAGCAACTGCTGCTGGACCAGAGAAGGCTCTCTATTTTAGGACATGTCTAGGTCAGGCACAGTCACACATTGCAAAATTCCTGAACTTTGCAAAACAGGCCAAAGCAGACTACACATGCAAGGTAAGAAACTATTCCATTGTTACATCATATAGAAAAGGTCCATATCTTCTTAAATATAGATGGCTCCAGGCAGATTGAAATAAATCTACCTGTCCAGCATTCTGTTTGTATAAACTACTTTATATGATCAGAACGTTGGCCAGGTAGACAAATATATTCAATGTGTATAAATGTTCGTTTTATGTGAAATTTTCCTGTTTAGTATGCTGATAATCAAAGAAATGGTTTTGCCTTTTAAGTGACTGAATGCAGTGTCGTTAGAAGTGAGAAATATCTAACTTATGTTGGATTTTAAGATTTTTACCATACAAGCAGTAAACATTTTGTATAGCATTTTGATTTTAGCCAGTGATTTTGCTTCACCATTAACGTTGCAAGAGCTCACAGTTTGTTTGGTATTAGTCTTCACCTCAGTATGTGTAATATTGTGTATATCTGAGAGTAAGTAATTAATGGCTTGGTCTGTTCATAGAGAGTAAGTCACTAATGGCTTGGTCTGTTCATAGAGAGTAAGTCATTAGTGACTTGGTCTATTCATAGAGAGTAAGTCACTAATGACTTGGTCTATTCATAGAGAGTAAGTCACTAATGGCTTGGTCTATTCATAGATAGTAAGTCACTAATGGCTTGGTCTATTCATAGAGAGTAAGTCATTAATGACTTGGTCTATTCATAGAGAGTAAGTCATTAATGACTTGGTCTATTTATAGAGAGTAAGTCACCAATGGCTTGGTCTATTCATAGAGAATCAGTCATTAATGACTTGGTCTATTCATAGAGAGTAAGTCATTAATGACTTGGTCTATTCATAGAGAGTAAGTCACTAATGGCTTGGTCTATTCATAGAGAGTAAGTCACTAATGGCTTGGTCTATTCATAGAGAGTAAGTCAATAATGGCTTGGGCAATTCATTGAGAATAAGTCATTAATGGCTTGATCTATTCATAGAGAGTAAGTCAATAATGAATTGGTCTATTCATAGAGAGTAAGTCAATAGTTGGTCTATTCATATAGAGTAAGTCCTTAATGGCTTGGTCTATTCATAGAGAGTAAGACATTAATGGCTTGGTCTATTCATAGAGAATAAGTCATTAATGGATTTATCTATTCATAGAGAGTAAGTCAATAAGGGCTTGGTCTATTCATAGAGAGTAAGTCACTAATGGCTTGGTCTGTTCATAGAGAGTAAGTCACTAATGGCTTGGTCTGTTCATAGAGAGTAAGTCACTAATGGCTTGGTCTGTTCATAGAGAGTAAGTCACTAATGGCTTGGTCTATTCATAGAGAGTAAGTCAATTATGGCTTGGTCTACTCATAGAGAGTAAGTCATTAATGGCTTGGTCTATTCATAGGGAGTAAGTCATTCATGACTTGGTCTATTCATAGAGAGTAAATCATTAATGGCTTGGTCTATTCATAGAGAATAAGTCATTAATGGCTTGATCTATTTATAGAGAGTAAGTCATTAATGACTTGGTCTATTCATAGAGAGTAAATCAATAATGGCTTGGGCAATTCATTGAGAATAAGTCATTAATGGCTTGATCTATTCATAGAGAGAAAGGCAATAATGACTTGGTCTATTCATAGAGAGTAAGTCAATAATGGCTTGGTCTATTCATAGAGAGTAAGTCATTAATGGCTTGGGCAATTCATTGAGAATACGTCATTAATGGCTTGATCTATTCATAGAGAGTAAGTCATTAATGGCTTGGCCTATTCATAGAGAGTAAGTCATTAATGGCTTGGTCTATTCATAGAAAGTAAGTCAATAATGGCTTGGGCAATTCATTGAGGATAAGTCATTAGTGGCCTGATCTATTCATAGAGAGAAAGTCAATAATGGCTTGGTCTATTCATAAAGAGTAAGTCACTAATGGCTTGGTCTATTCATAGAGAGTAAGTCAATAATGACTTGGTCTTTTCATAGAGAGTAAGTCATTAATGGCTTGGTCTATTCATAGAGAGTAAGTCAATCATGGCTTGGTCTATTCATAGAGATTAAGTCAATAATGACTTGGTCTATTCATAGAGAGTAAGTCAATAATGGCTTGGGCTATTCATAGAGAGTAAGTCATTAATGGCTTGGTCTATTCATAGAGAGTAAGTCAATAATGGCTTGGGCAATTCATTGAGAATAAGTCATTAATGGCTTGATCTATTCATAGAGAGTAAGTCAATAATGAATTGGTCTATTCATAGAGAGTAAGTCAATAGTTGGTCTATTCATATAGAGTAAGTCCTTAATGGCTTGGTCTATTCATAGAGAGTAAGACATTAATGTCTTGGTCTATTCATAGAGAATAAGTCATTAATGGATTGATCTATTCATAGAGAGTAAGTCAATAATGGCTTGGTCTATTCATAGAGAGTAAGTCATTAATGGCTTGGTCTATTCATAGAGAGTAAGTCAATAATGACTTGGTCTATTCATTGAGAATAAGTCATTAATGGCTTGATCTCTTCATAGAGAGTAAGGCAATAATGACTTGGTCTATTCATAGAGAATAAGTCAATAATGGCTTGATCTATTCATAGAGAGTAAGTAATTAATGGCTTGGTCTATTCATAGAGAGTAAGTCATTAATGGCTAGGTTTATTCATAGAGAGTAAGTCATTAATGGCTTTGTCTATTCATGGAGAGTAAGTCATTAATGGCTTCGTCTATTCATAGAGAGTAAGTCAATAATGGCTTGGGCAATTCATTGAGAATAAGTGGTTATTGGGTGGAATAATTCATTGTGCACACATACACGCATACAGGCAAACACAATACACATGGAGGCACGTCCTTAAATGACCTTAGCTGTTGCTAGGACATAAAACCATGTAAAACCAAAATCATTGTGAAAAAGTAGTTATTTGAATGGCAATTTTTGAGAATATGTAGTTATTAGGGCACTTCCTGATTGTTAGATAGGGGACACCACTCTAAGGGGTATAAGTGACTTTAAAGTTGACAAAAAGGGAATGTCATTTTAACAACCTATAAACAGAACTAAATCCTACATAAGATGTAATGTCAGTTTTGTAGTGTAGCCATGTGAATGGAGCTGATTTTTGCAGATGTTGTGATGGACAATTCCTCCATTCATTGTTGAATTAACCTGTTATTTTGCAGACGGACAATTCTGACTTCCATGTAGAGAAGTCTGTGGCCGCAGCTCCAGGCTCTACTGGAGGCACTGAGGTCAATCTAGAGGTCACATTTGAACCTTCACGACTAGGTGAACAAAGAGCGAGTTTGCTGGTGAGCTCTACACAGGGAGGAGAGTACATGTTCCCACTGTTTGGAACTTGTGTAGCACCTAAACCACAGGGACCGTACATCATCAAAGCAGCTGGCACCACACATATCTCTTTCCGTAACGTGTTTGCAAGTACAACACCATTTATGTTCCAAGTTGACAATCCATTATTTCACCTTACAAAACAAAGTGAAAGTGTGCGGTCGCGGAAGGAGCACCGTATCGTAGTGGGATTTGATGGCAATGATAGTGGCTCCAAGGCTGTGGTCATGGGCAAACTTGTTGTATCATGTGCACGGTCAGCTGGAGGCAGTTCTAACGCCCAGTGGGTGTATTATCTTCGGGGCATCACAGTGTAGAAACAAGAGTAACCAAAGGACTACACAGATAAACAGCTTTAAACACTCAGAATGTATATTATGTTATTAATTACCTTGTGAAGGTACAATGATAAAATCAATCGTTATGAAACACTTTTATTTGTAAATATATATCAATGTGAATTTCTTTCAAAGGGAAATACTTGGTGTAAAGATTAATGTTTGATGGAATGTAGGATGGATTTATAAGGATAAAATTCAAATAACATTCCAAAAGAAACTTTTCAGTTTTCAAATTTTCAACCGAAGGAAATACTGGAAACATTATTTTTGAAAAAGTGTATTTTTGTATTGGCTGTTTTGTATATTTGCTATATAACATGATGAGATTCATATATAAAGGAAGATAGAAATAGAACTAGTGTGTCACTACATTGGGCTATCTGGTGAAAGCTGTTGTACAACAGTGCCTATGATTATTTATCATCCTTTGCTATACTCATAATAATGCCAACACAAAAATACTTGGATTTTGTCAGTGCATCAATATTTTGTTTAAAAATGCCATTTGACACAATGCTGATTACTAGTCTTTCAGCTGTAATGATTTATGCACATGTCACTGAAAACAATAAAGGTATTTATTTATTTAAAGTATTTTGTCTTTGTTTTTTTAGTTTTAACCGACACGTTTTCTATGTATGCATCAGTCTTTAGCACACCTGTCCCGAAAGGTCATATTAGTTTATGTCTTTGCATGACATCCATCCGTCATCAATTCTTAGCTCAGCTCACCCAAAGGGAAACCAAGATTGTCCAAATGAATGACCTTGACCCACTTTCAAGGTTACAGGAGTCAAATATCTTAAAATCTTAAAACAACTTCTCAATACCAATACGTCCTTGGGTGATGATATCTAGCCAGTAGCATACTGGAATAGGCCTTAGTTTGTTCAAAAGAATGACACTGATCTACTTTCAAAACCATTGGGTTCATGGTCGTTGATGTCATAATATGTTTAAGAATGTACCCTTCGGAGGTTTCAATCACGTTCAAGTCTCGTTTTGATCTGGTGTAATGGGGTTTTGTAATATTTACCTAACAAATTATGATCAAGTGGATGTTTTAGAAAAAGAAACACATTTCTTTTAATTCATTAGATATTAACAAAAGTTTAATAGCAGAACTTTTTATATCAAGTGTTTAATCTGCAAAAAATGGTAAAAAAATGAGTTTTTTTCATTAGAAAATAGGGGGTAGGGGTAACTAAAATCGGCTTTCTGAGTTAAAAGAATAAGATTAAGAAATTTTACTTCTGTACCTTTTAACATGATATATTCATATATTACTATGATAATTCACTGTAGCATTAAATTGTAGGCACTCCTACACCTAAATGCATGACTTGTTGCTACATGGCCACGAAAACAGAAACTTTGATTTTGTTTATAATGTAAGTATATATTAATTGTTAAATTTAGTATAGGAGGTTGGGCTGACTTTTCTGAAAGAACCTAATGAATGGAAGTAGGGTGTGTATGGGGGGTAAGGGGGTGGGTCTTTTTGGGGAAGCTTTTGAGAAAATGTTCAATGTTGCGTTTCAATACTACTTGATTATATGTTCAATGCTGTCTGATAATGTTCCTAAAGATATTTCCAAGCTATTTTTTGGCTTTAATGACCATGGTTAGTTTAAAAATATGCTGCTTTAATTGCCGGGGACTGGCATCAAACACTATAAAAAGATGCGACATTTTTGACAAGTGTAGAATCAACTACGATATCTCGGTCCTTATTGATACGCATTCCACAGATAAAGTTGAACAAAAGTGGTTAAATGAATGGGGATATACTGCAAAATTCTGTTCCTTTTCTAGTAGTAGTAGAGGAATAGCTATCCTCTTCAAAAACACATTTCAATTTGACATCGTGAAAGAAATTAAAGACACTAGTGGTAATTTTCTAATACTTGAGATTAAATTATTTGAGCGAAATATAATTTTGGCTGCAATATATGGCCCAAACGAAGATAGTCTGTCCTTCTTTGAGAATATCCAACGAAAACTTGAAACACTAAATAATAACTCTATCATTATATGTGGAGATTGGAATGTTCCACAGAACTATAACTTAGACACTGTTAATTACAAAAATAAAAATAATACAAAGAGTCAAGCTAAAATTCTGGAAATGATGTCAACATTAGATATTTTAGATATATGGAGAGAGTCTAACCCAGATACAAAACGATATACATGGCGGGGTCCACATAAAAAACAGGCACGTCTAGATTATTTTCTGATATCTTCTGATTTAGTATCTTGTGTTTCAAATACAGACATTGGGGTAAGTTATAGATCTGATCACACTCCAGTTTCTGTTTCTTTTAAATTTATTGAACAGCAGAGAGGAAAAGGTACCTGGAAATTTAACAATACTTTACTGCGCGATGCTAATTATGTACAAAAGGTAAAACAGTGTATTGTGGAAACATTGAATCAATATAGATTACCGGATGAACAAAATAACACTATATATTCAATTGACGACCAACTTTTATGGGAAACTATTAA